TAAATACCCCCTCCCCCCTCTCATTTCTTCACACCACAACCATTCTCCACTCTCTCTCTATAATTATCTCTCTAACCCCTCCCCTCCCCTCCCAAAAGCCTAGGAAATAGTGGTATGTTGGTTGCGGCTAAGTCCGATCTGCCATCAGAAAACATTTCTTTGGTTTTTCCCTCAAAACCCGCCGAATTTCTGTCCGACTTTCGCGAAAAAATAGACGAGTGGTTCCAAGGAGAGGGAGTTTATTATGATGAATTTCAAGCGGTACGTACTCATTATTTTGGTCAATTTTTGTTTTTGTTATAAGTTTTTTAATTAATCTATGTACTAACCTTGTTGTCATTCTCTCGTAGGTTGAGGACGACGTGAATATATACAACCAACGATACTATTTGGATCAAGGGCATATTGATCCGACCGACTTGTATGACCAACCCAACCATCGTTCAAGGGATGTTTGGAACGATCACCCGGTACATACAATTCTTCATAATTTATCTTTATTTTATTTTGCTAATGTACTTAGTGGAATATAGAATAAATTTGAAATAATTTAATCGTATTGGTTGTTTTCAATAATTTAATCGAATACATAGCGCCTTCAACTCTTTATAAAGAGATGCACGCCTAAGAAAATGGGGTTTTAAGCGATTATCATGATCCTCCCATTTCCTGGGAAAATCGGGTATTAAGAGATCCTCGGATCCCCCCTTTTTCTGTCAAAAAAGGTTGTGTTTCCAAGAAGATGTATACCTCTTCTAAGAGTCTAGCGAGTGTTGCATTGTATTCGATTAAATTATCTAAAACAACCAATACGATTAAATTACTTACCAAACAACCAATACGATTTATGTTTATGTGTACTTAAATGAATTTTATTAATTTCAAATGTTTGAATATGTATGTATCTCTTTAAATTATTATTCATTTAGAATGTTATTTATTTCAATTAATTTAGTATGTTTGTTTTATCTCCCCCTCATCAGCCGTGACCTCCTACCCCTCACCGTATGAGCGTCGATCTCCCCCGCTCGACCCCGGAAGCGCCGCATACCTTGGATCGTCGCCGACACAGCACCGACGAGCGCCCTAGCACGACCCATCGAAACTTGCCACCGCAACCACCGATGGTCACTCCCGTCGTTCGTCGTACAAGGAGCCAGAAAACCTTGCAGCCCCATGAGTCCCAGGGACTTCCTTAGATGGATTTTAGTTTTATCATTTTAAGTGTTGTTTTTAGTTATGTTTTAATTATATGTACTTGAAACCCTTCTATTTTAGTTTCTTTAATTGAGTGTTGTTTTAGTTTTTATTTTAGTTCTAAGTTCTTGGCTTTCTCTATTTTGATCGAGTTAACTTAAGGCTTGAGTGTTAATTGAGGCTTATTTGCCAAACACGAAAGTTCCAAGCATCATAGCTCTAACTCCGACAATAATTGAAAAAATACATAACAAGTACCAACAAATGAAAACCGCAAACTATGTCGCATTAGCTGAGTCCCCCACATCAGGACTCGGATTTTGTGGACCAATAGGACCTGGACAACTCCGTTTATCATGGCCTGGAACTCTGCATACTGAACATCGTCTTGGGCCTCATGGTGGTCTTCCACTTTGAGTGAGTCGATATTGAAGAATGGACTGACGAAGTGACGGGGGTCTTTGCTCCTATTTTTAATTACAGCCATTGCATGAGAACATGGCCATCCTCTCCACTGATACTTCTGGCATGAGCACTCACCATGTTTTGTCCTGAAATTTACCAAAACTTCATGGCGATGGCCCCCGCGTCTACCATCCTCACGGTGTCTGGTCGTCACTCTAAACTCGCCAGTTGCCCGATTCATAACGGTTACACTATGTCGACTACTCTTCCGATTGTCATGCTCCAATATTTCTGTGACTTTATTGGCATGGACCTTTCCTTGTGCCTCGTTCGTCCTTGCCCAGTGTAGTCGATTGACGAACCATCCATTCGTTTTCCAGAAAGTCATCTCCACAATGGCAGAGATTGGCAGCGCCCGAACACCCTTGTAGGCAGAATTGATACTCTCTGATGAGTTCGTTGTGGCCATACCCCATATTGTACCTCCGTCTTTATGAAATGTCCACATGGATAGGTCGTGTCCATCCAGCCACTGTGCCCCTTCAGGGCATAACTCGCGCATCTTCTGCAACTTCTCCGGGAATTTTTTCTCCTGGTATGCAACAGCTGAGGTAATCACAATCAAGTATTACGTTAGTAATAATTCGGCAATTTATTACAATTCGAACAACAAGCAGGTACTCTCGTTAGACTCTTAGGAGAGGTTTACATCTCCTTAGAAACGCAGCCTTTTTGACAGAAAAAGGGGGGATCCGAGGATCGCTTAAAACCCGATTTTCCCAGGAAATGGGAGGACCATGATAATCGCTTAAAACCCCATTTCCTTAGGCATGCATCTCTTTAGAAAGATTCTAACAAGTGTACCATTTATTTGATATAAAATATTGTTCTTCTCCAAAATTAAATAACCAATAGAGAGCTTACCAATCCACCACAAATTATCAACAAGCTTCTTCCGCTTGAAATGATGGTTCCAGTTGCTCTTGAAGTGTCGTATGCACCACCTTTGGGAACACTTCCAGGCTGGATCCAAACCTAAGATGGCAGCTCTAATCCCGGCGTGCCGATCAGAGATTATTGTCAGGTTCGTCCTCCTAGTGACGTTGAGCTGAATTTGCCGGAAAAACCATCCATAGCTATCAGTATTCTCTCCCTCAACAGTGGCGAAGGCTAACGGAAAGACTTGTTTGTTTGCATCCACCCCACTGGCAATCAGTAGAGTGCCCTTGTACTTGCCGGTAAGGAATGTACCATCCACTTGGATCACAGGGACACAGAAGCCAAAACATCAATAGATGGCTTGAATGCCCAAAAAAGTTGTCTGAAATGGCGTTTGTTACCTGGCTCTGGCAGTTGTACCTCTTCATCTTGGTATCGAGGGGAGGAAACAGTGTCATGGTTAGACGCCTCCAGTTCCAAAATCAACCCGAGAAGGAATGCATATGATTCTTCCCAATCACCATATACCGCGGCCAGAGCTTTCTGCTTTCCATGCCACGCCTTCTTATAGTTAATCATATAACCATAACGACTTGCAATGTCAGCGATTATGACTTTCACCTTCAGGTCAGGATCTTGCTCAATTAGATGCTTGATAGCCGCAACAACGACCCTGGATTTCAACTGTCGATGGCCTTGGGATGTTATGGATGACACACATGTGTGTGTTCACCGCACAGGGTATGACCCAATGGCCGTGTCTCTTGCTGTTGATGGTCCAAATCCTAACATTGCATCCCTCGTTATGATTACGGCATCTGACTATGAGCCTTTTCGTGTTGGAAAGAGTTGTGTGCCATTCAAAATGCCGAGTCATTGCTTCAGTATCAATGGCGTGCCGCACCTCCTTCTTCAAGCCAAATTGTTGGCCCTTCATAAACCCATTGAGTGGACCCCATATTGGAACCTCCGGAGGTTCCATGTCGCTGTCGACCATCCAATTGCCATCTGGGATTTGATTGTAGTGGGAGACTGGTACACGGTCATGAGCCACCTCATCATCATTATCTGACTCTGACTCTGGTCCTGAATCATCAGCACCTTCAAGAGGGTCGGAGCTGTTTGCACTGACGTTGTTCTCTCCTTCATCGGAGGGGTCACTGACTGGTGCTGGCAGGGCATCTTCCATCTGATCCAACTCATTAAAGGCACCTTCATTAGCTCCATAATGGTAGTTGTGAAAACTACCACTGCCTGATTGGAAGTTGTACTAGGGTTGGTTGGCATGGTCCGGTTGAACTTCTTCTTCATATGACGGGTAAGATTGATGATGACCTTCACCTTGCTCTTGGTACTGAAAATAGGAATGAGGATTATGGTAACTTTGGTAGGGATGATCTCCATATAATTCACCTCCACCATGGATACTAGATATTTGACTGTCTCCAGAATGACCTCCAACGCCTACGACCGGCTCGGTGTAAGCGAATATCTCGGCTTTGGAAAGATTGTTGGACCTCAAGAATTCGAGCATGGCATCTACCTCATCCGAAGTGGTTATGAGTTATTCCTCGTGCCACAACGACCCGCCTTCTCTGTTTGGATATCGGTACACCATACGATCAACTCTTCTCGTGCCATCCATGCAAGTAACGTTAGTACACATTTGATAGAGGTCTTCAAGCATCGGTCTGGTAGCGACCTTTATTTTCTGAAAAATTGCCACCGACGTAGGTGACCCCCTTTCCGCTCTCTTCCGTGTAACCATTCCACTGTAACCCAAGCGTGAACTTTTGGCATGCCATCTGCAAAAAAAAAACAGTAGTTCAACTAATATCATAAAAATCACAAATCACAATTCACAATAAAAAGTAATACAAAATAAACTTACGAGTTAACGTTAACCGCAAAAACACTAGACAAATAGGGAGCTACAATAGAAAATTGAAAAGGGAGAAGGAGAGGTGTGAAGAGAAGAAGATTTCCCGCTCTGCCTTTTATAGGCAAAATCATCTGCCATGGTTGCATGTCTGGTGTCGGAAAATGACACACAAACCGCATTGGTGGGGGGGGGGGGGGGGGGGGGGGTGGTTTGTGTTGCCAAAGCCGCACTTTGAGGGTGCGGTTTGTTTTGGAGAAGCAAAACCGCATCCCCAAAGTGCGGTTTTGCTAGGTCAGGCCTAGACCGCATCTCGGTCATGCGGTTTGGTTAGGTCAGATCGCAAACCGCATGGCCAAGATGCGGTTTTGGCCCAGAAAGATAAAACGCACTCCCAAGGTGCAGTTTAAAGATAAAACGCATTCGGGGAGTGCGGTTTACATGCAAAACGCACCAGGGTGTGCGGTTTTAAAAAAAGGGTTTTATTTTTGTAATTTCTACGAAATGAGTGCTAGTTTTGTAAAAAAAAAATTAAAAGTGTTATTTCTAAAAAAATCCCCAAAGAGCGACTTTGTGTTGTTCAGGCGTGCCTGCCACTGACTCTGGCTAAAAGGCGAAATTCCCAACTTAAACTCTCATTGTGTTCTTCGCAAAACTCCTCCCTCTCGCTTCAGGTAACAATCTTTTCCTCGTTTTCTCGTCGGCCCACATCTCACTGTGCTGCATTTTCAATACCCAGACGATGAAATTCTCAGTCTCTAGCTCAGCTGGAAGATCCATGTTGACTTCTTGTTATTATCATCTTCGTCTTTCTTCTTCTCCCTCTAAATTAGAGCTGTTAGAATAATGAATTCAGATGGCTTTAAACAACCAGAAAATCGACGTGTTATCAGTCGCCGTGACCTTTTTATGTCATTTGTGGTTTTCCTGTTTCACAGATTGTGTGTGGGTACGAGAAGCCTACTGCACGTTGCTATTGTGAGAATGATGTCTCTTTAATGTACAAGAAGTTGAGGTGATATTCTCGTTTGAAAGGTAGGCGAGATGTCATTTTCCAGGTAGTAGCTTGGGCAATTTGGAGGCGGTTGGTTGGTTTACTATTCCTGAAGGAGAGCGAGAAGTTGGATATGACGTCAATCTTTGTGATGAATTGCGTCTTTCCTCTAGGTTTTAGATGTTAGAGACTGGGTTTAGACTTCCAGCCGGGCATTCAATATTTATTGCCTCTGGAATATATGCACATTGATACTGAAGAGAACTAAAACAATTCGACTTTTTGGTTGTTTCCTTCAAAGCTCAATTCTGTTCTGACCTTGATCATCTTCCTTTAGGAATCTACTGCTTTGAGATTGTTTCCTTGTGGGTTTCCAAACTCAGTTCAAAAATTTCCATCCATGCCTGAGAAGACTAAGCATCTATCCAGGCTACTGATCTACCTCATCACTCTCTCTTTGTTCCTTTTGATTCTATCTTCTCTATCACTTCGACAGTTTGGCAATGTCTCGTTGCTACCTGGTTCTGTTTTCAGGTTGATTCTTGCAAACAACACCTCAATTTATGTGAGACCCAATGTTCAAAGGGACCCAAAGATCAAAACAATCCCCTTCTTGTCTCCCCTAAGCTCAAAGACACAATCCCCTAACTTTGGCCCTTGCAATCAAGGAACAATTTGTCCACCTTCTGGAGCCTTGACTTGTGACCAAAATCAAGCTGTTCTGAAGGTATATATGTATGATCTTCCTCCTGAATTTCACTTTGGATTACTGGGCTGGAAGGGAAGTGGCAATGAAACTTGGCCAACTGTTAATGACCCTAGGCACATCCCGCCATATCCTGGTGGCTTGACTTTGCAGCATAGTATGGAGTATTGGCTGACACTTGATCTTCTAGCATCTAATGTGCCAAGTATCATCAAAGCTTGCAGTACAGTTAGAGTGGAGAATTCTAGTGAAGCAGACATACTCTTTGTGCCGTTTTTCTCATCTCTGAGTTACAATCGGTATTCCAAGCCTCTGGGGAAAGAGAAACTTGAACTAAACAAAATTCTACAAGAGAAATTGGTGCAGTATTTGCTGGGTCATGATTTATGGAAGCAACATGGGGGAAAGGATCATTTGATTGTGGCACATCATCCCAACAGCATGCTGCAGTCCAGGAAAGAGTTAGCCTCTGCCATGTTTGTGCTTGCAGATTTTGGGAGGTATCCTGCTAGCGTTGCAAACATTGAAAAGGATATAATAGCTCCTTACAAACATGTCGTTAGGAGCATTCCAAATGGTCAGTCAGCTCAGTTTGATCAGCGTTCCATACTAGCTTATTTCAAGGGGGCTATTTACAGAAAGGATGTAAGTATCTGTTGTCTTTCCTTCTATACTATTAATTAATATGCCTTGATTACTATGGCCTTCTACGAACTCTAGAGGTAACTGTTTGTTTAAACTTAATTTCCATATCCATAGATTGAGCTCATTTATATCTGAATGCTGTACCGAAGATTAAAAACAAAAACTCATTAGCAAGCAAGATTGGCTTCCATTTGGTGCATGCATTATGGTCTGGAGGCTTGATAGCAGAATTCTTACACTTTCATGGCAGCATGCAATATGAAAAAATATACTAGTATCAGCCCTGTTCTCCAAATTATAATTCTGTATCTACAACCAGTTTTCTTCTTACACCATAAAGCACATTTATGAAGTAGTTCCATTTGCCTGTCGTAAAGTATGTTCTAATTATCTCTTCCTTCTTTCCAAAAAAAAAAAAATAACTCTCTTTCCTTTTTGGGTAGGAATTGATGGGGAGAGGGTTCGGTTTCTATGGTTTGAGAACTTGTCATCTTTATAACAGGCAGTCACATGCACATACATTTTTCTCTGAACTGCAGTTTGACAGTTAAGGAACAGTTCAAAATTTTTAATTTACTCTTCTTTAAACAGTAATGTACTAATATGCACTCTGCTTTCCTTCTTAAGGGAGGAACTATTCGCCAGGAACTCTACTATCTTCTTAAAGATGAGAAAGATGTGCACTTTACATTTGGGTCCTACAGCAAGAATGGGGTGAACAAGGCCAACGCAGGGATGGCCACATCAAAGTTCTGCTTGCATATTGCCGGTGATACACCTTCCTCTAATCGTCTCTTTGACATTGTTGCAATTCACTGTGTTCCTGTGATCATAAGCGATGAGATTGAACTTCCATTCGAAGATGTGCTGGACTACTCAGACTTTTGTGTCTTTGTTCATGCATCTGATGCTATCAAACCGGGTTACTTGATGAAGCTTCTACGTGGGATTGACCGAGATGAGTGGACCAAGATGTGGTTTAGATTACAAGAAATTGCCTCCCACTTTGAATATAATTACCCTTCCAGAGCTGACGATGCTGTAGATATGATATGGAAGGCAGTAAGGCGGAAAATATCTGCACTTCCCTTGCAAATTAACAGGAAGAAGAGATACTATCGATCTCAACCAACAAGCTAACTGAAGTGAACACCACAGTTTGTAGGAGACATGATACCAAAAGCTTCCCTCTCGTTCTCTCATGCGAAGGGCATTTGATTTTTGTAACCTTACCAAGAGCTGCTTGTTTTTGCTAAACATACATAGATGAGGGAGGAGCTATTCGGCAGGAACTGTACCACCTTCTAAAAGATGAGGAAAATGTGCACTTTACATTTGGATCCTACGGGAAGGGTGGCATCAACAAGGTCAATGCAGGGATGACCATATCAAAGTTCTGCCTACATATAGCTGGGGATACACCTGGTTCCAATCGCCTGTTTGATGTGATTGCCACTCTCTGGGTTTCTGTGATAATAAGCGAAGATATAGAGCTGACATTTGAAGATGTGGTTGACTACTCAGAGTTCTGTGCGTTTGTTCATGCGTCTGATGCTGTGAAACCAGGGTACTTACTGAATCGTCTCGGTGGACTGGAGGGATATGAATGGACCAAGATGTGGGTCAAGATTACAAGAAATTGGCGCCCACTTTGAATACCACTAACCTTCAAAGCCTGATGATGCTGTGGATATGGTCTGGAAGGCTCTATCGAGAAAGGTGCCCGCACTTCGGTTGCAACTTAACAGGAATAATAGATACTCTAGGTCTCAACCAGCAAGCTAACTGAGAACAACAGTCAGCAGGTAGACATGATTCAAAAGCTTCCCTCTTTTTGTGTTTGTTTCCTTGTGTGTAAAAAGGGTATTTGTTTTTTTCATTTTTAGGGATCTGTTTGTTTTCGCTAATCATACGCGATCTAATGAAATTGTTTATTGTCAAGAACAATCATATATACAAGGTCTTATTGGCCATGTGAATTGGATTGTTCATCGAGTATCGTTGTTCTTCTCTTCCGTTCATGCGATTTTTTTTTTATTCTAAATGTGAAGAAAAATCTAACTGGGTCATTCATCGGGGGGAAAAAATCTAACTGGGTAGCCATGGGAAATTGCTCCGAATTTTCGTTATGACAATAAATAAACCATTAGAATCTTATGTAAGTTGAAGGAGGTCCTAAGGTGGTAGTGCTGGACATTTTAGGTGTTTGACTGCAACCATCATTGACAGCAAAGGTTTAATGATTGGTTGATAAACTTAGAGTTTCTGGGTTTCTTTAGATTTAATATATAACCTTTGAAAGAGCAGAACTTTCGACTATGATTCATAGAAAATAAAGGAAATTCAGGAGTAGCGATTGAACTTGATAACAATACCCATATTTATGGTTCTACTCTGAGCTGTTAATTTCCATTCCTTGTGCATGTGGATGAATCTGTTTTCCTTTTCAGTATTGTTTCAAGATTGACGATCACATTTCTTTTTAGCTTCGTGGTCCTGGTTGTTGAAACTTTACTCACTGTAGATGAGTTTTGAGTTCTGCAAATTTCTTTTGTTTTTAACAACTCTGCAGAGTGCATTTAGTTTATCGTTGTGATTCTAAATGCAGAAGAAAAGTGACTGACGTGAAGATGATATCGTGGAAGAAAGGAAATGGCCAAAGGTCATCTGTTCACGGAGTATGAACTTCTGCAAACTAGAATAACATATAAGTTGCCTGTGAAACTGTTCCTGTGGATTGAAAAGGGTGAGGGACAAACAAAGAAAACACAAAAGAAAAAGAAAAGAAAGCACTATATGTTGATTGTCTATGAGAGCCAGCATCGTCTACACTTTTGAGTATTTTGGGGGACCCTAACAAGTTGATTAAGACCTGATTGATTCTATACAGTACTGAGATGATGCTGGCTCAGAGATATGGGTGGGCCTAGCCTAGGCTGCTGCAATTCTCTCTTACAAAATGCCGCCTCTAGAACAAATGAAAAATATATCAAAATCCAGCAAACCATGTTGGAGGCTCTAACGTCGAGGACTCAGGAGGTGCCTGTATCTTGCAGTTTCTTCATCATCATTAATTTTTTTGCATCAGCTGCAGCTTCAAGCCATCACTTCCTTAGTTCCTTTGCTGGCATTGAGGAGTGAAAAAGAACATGGAAAAGAATATTTGGAGCTCTTCCCTGAGTCAGAAAACCAGGCTACTGCCTGTTGTGAATGGGATCTGATCCTTTCTTAACCGTTCTTTTGTTGGACTGATTAGGATCAAACATCACCGAAGGTCCAGGTGCCAAGCTCGACGACGTGGCCTGCAACTCATCTGCAGCCACTCCCTTGAGGAAGCGTGAAGTATGCACCCCAGGATGCTGCCATCTCAGAGCAAGATCAATGCTTGTCAGGCCACAAGCCATCTCAGGCTGTAGAGCTAAGTTCCCAATGCAGAATAGAAGAAGAATAACTATGTGCCCTGATACACCCATGAAGCAATGATGTTGATTATGTTGATAAAAGAATAGAAATGGAGGAGTAGTTTCAGTCTGAGAACTGAGAAGTGGCTGCTGATATTATAATGCAACTCTGCTGATAATATGTTTATATATAGTGCAGGATTAAGCTCGAGTTATTGCTTTTCTCAAAGTGGATCCATAAAGCACAAGGGTTGTGGCCCCAGGAAACATGTGGGGAAGGCCATTAGATTCACTTGCAATCATGAGCATGCCCCCATTGGAATAACTAACTATATGTTCTTTTAGGAAGGAAGACTCATCCTGACAGGTTTGAACAAAAAAGGTGGAGTTGGAACAATTTCCTTGGGAAGATAAGCATCTTTTTTTGTTCTTCTTCTCACATCTCAGTTTCCCCACATTTCCCTATCATTAGGTAATTGGCTTCGATGCTCTTTCTTTTACCAATCCAAAGTTAGAGAACAATCCCTGTCACCCCCAGTCCAGGTTCCAGAATCCCAAATAAAGTAAAAGGGGAAATCAAACCCAGAAAAAAGGGCAAGATAGGAGACTGGGACTTTCCGCTAGTGGATGCTTACCATACTAAATAGTGCCTATCATTTCTCTTTATCTAACTGGCCGCAATGCCAATAACCAGTTTTATCCTATTTGGTTTGCCCATCGACTGGTGACCAACTCGGAAACATTAAGCTTTACATGTCTCTAGTCTCAACAATCAAGTATTCAACTTGATCAGACAGTTATCCGTGCTGGGTTAAGACACTGCGAGTCACGGCCTGATCAATCCAACCATCCGAGCAAGTGGTTTTTGCACAAAACTACTAGAAACCAATGGTGTTGAAATGCTGGTTGTGTGATGGATTTGGAGTTTGGTTTAAAACCCTATAAAGTTAAAAGAGAATAAGGACTGTGGAGGCTGCTAAGAGTACACTTTGGTACAATCCTGGTGGCTGGCTGGCTGGCTGGCAGATTTTAAATTTATGCCTCCCTCGATCGCCAGCACAGGCAGCTGAAGCCCCAAAGCTGGCCGTCGTCAGGCAGGGATTTGGAATCTTGGAATGAAAAGCGGCGTTTTGTGACTTGGCAGCTAAGGAAGCAAGCACAAGCTTGGTGGTAATGAGTGGGTGGATGAGGCTTAAACTAAGGCAATGTACCCTAATTAAATTTTTTTAAAGGGCCATGAAAAGTAGAGATGTCGGGAGATGGATGGAGGAATAGTGGCTTGCTCGGCTTGTATAAAAAAAACAAACAATCACACCCCAAGCAAGCAAGCAAGTTAGAGGAGTTGCTTTATCCCTCCTTGGCCTTCTCCTCTCAAGGAGTGTTCAATTTTTTGCCCTTTTTCTTTAGGAATTCCAAGCTCTTCTATCCATACACCAATCCAACAAACCAACCAAATATCAGTGCCTTGGTTCCTTGTGCTATAATGGGGGTTCGTTTTTCTTTATGCCTTTTTTTCTGCCCCTTTGTCTAGTTGGCTCTCTCACTTTCTATTCCATTCCATTCTATCCTATAAAAAGTTGTAAAAGAAGCAATACACCAACTAGTGAGGTGTTAGCATTTATAGGTGTGCATTGATCAGGCTTCAAGAAGACATAATTTTGTGTACATTCATGAGCTAGACAAGGACAAAAACAATTTGTTTAGGTTCTAGGTAGAACATTAGGCATTCCTAACGCCTAGGCACCGCCTAGATGGAGTTGGGCGCGATTAATTGCTGAGATGTGATTAATCAGGGCTAGGCGGTCTGGTGACTAAAGATAAAAAAATAAATAAGTATATTAAAATGGTCCAAAAGGACACCACCTTATGTTCGACTAGTTCCTCCCAACGACCCATCCTACACATGTCTTCTTCCTCGATTGGACTAAAAACATTTAGATCAACAGAGCTCTCTGAATTACAGTGCCTTCTCCCCTACCCCAAGATTCAGCGTCGGCGACTGTAGTGCTTCTCATCTCCGGATTTGGTCGACCCAATACTCTGTCCTATAATTTTCCACCCTCAACCATTAAGCACCTAAAACCACGTCACCGTATGCACTACTTCCGTTCATCTCTGGTTTGTATCCCACTTTGATCAACCCAACCTTCTTTCTTACACTTCACCGTCGTGGACTTACGACAACCAAGCCCTGCCGTCTACTTCACAACTTTAGTTTTTCTCAGCCTTGCTAAATCCTAGGCCCTAGCCCTCTCACCTGCTCTTCGCAGTGATTGGATGTGATTTCAGTAGCCAGCCAACCACAATCCTACAAACGACGACATGGTTTCAGTGATTCCCTTATTCGCCGCAACCCTCTCTATGTCTTTAGTTAATTATCATCTCCACTGCTCATTCATTCACAGAGTTTGGCTTTCTCTCCCATTACCTTTCTCTCTTTGTTGTTGGTGCTCTGTTTCTGTGAACTTGGGTTCCATACTTTTTTGAAAGTTGTGATTCTAATTGCAATAATTTTAAATTTTTGTCTTCTAGGCAATAATGACATATTTTACTTGTTGTTGAGGGTTAGCTAAATTATAAATTAATCATTTGAAATTGTGTCTAAATGAGAAAGTGCTATAAAATTGTAATGATCGCTTGAAACGTCTAGGTGTCGCCTAGATATTAGGCAGGACCCCAACACCTGTCTAGTGACTAACGCATGCTTGAATCTTGACATTCATTATGAGAATTCGCAAAAATCCTACTCATGTACTGAATTAATTGCTATCACGATGAACTTACCGTTATAGTGGCTGAAGATCACTTTAGGTTTAATGAGAGATCACTTGTCATAAATAAAATAACGCATATGCAACAATTCATATGACCTTTCTTGAACCTTTTGTGGTTGTCTTGTCATGATATTCTTGAATCACAATCTTAAATGGATGCCCGTTAGAATCTACAATCTTGAATATAACTGTTCATGTACAATATGCATTCCATTTTGACCTCGAGGAAAAGTCTTGTGAGCCTTGTGAGATTGATCTCTTTTAAGTCGATCGAAATATGGTCAAACCGCTATATGTATCTAGTCAAGCCCGTTTGCTTACTCATATGTTATCACATAGTAGTCTGCTTACTCAAATTACTGGATTGGTTGGGCTGTCTTATTGCCTCATTTATGCAACTCCATTGTGGATTGTTCAACCACTCTTGTAGTCTGCTTAATTAATGTTCCGGATTGCATTATCTACATAGTAGTCTGCTTACTCAAATTACTGAATTGGTTGGGCTGTCTTGTGGCCTTGATAGACCGTTATTTACACATGTTTTTACCCTCGTTCTTACACCATTTGAGGTGTTGATTCTTGTGTTTTAGGCCGATTTCACGCTAGGTTGTGCTTGTTTGTGATATTTCAGGTCCTAGTAAGTGAATGAAGGCTTAGGAGCGAGTCTGGGGCCGATTGGACGAAGATCGGACGAATGGCGAGGTTTCAAGGAAGCTGCACGGGCAGACCCTGACACCGCACGGCCGAGCACGTGAGCAAGATGGTCGTGCGCTTTTTGCCGAGGCCACGCACGGGCAAGCCATGGAAATCTCACGGCCGTGCAAGGTGCAACCCTGGCCGTGCGAGAAGCCTTAGATCGAACTAAACGACACGCTGCGTTTTGAGTTGCACGGCCAAGTGGGTGATCTGCACGGCCATGCACCCTGGCCGTGCGAGTCGGGAAATCCTGGTTTTAGAGCCTATTCCGAGCAAAAAGTGGGGAGTCGCGTTTTCAGAGCAAAAACAGAGCCCTAGAGAGAGAAAGTGCGAAGAACACATCCTAGAAGCTGTCTTAGAGCTGGATTTGATCGAATCGAGCTTGGAGATCGTCATAGGAGTGGAAATCATCATCCCGGAGCAGATTTTCCTCATCGTTATGAGTATGACTAATCCGATTCTTGTTTTCTCTTCTCTCTCTGACTCGCTGTTACTGTCACTCTAGAAAATGGCCAAGTGTAACCACTTCCTAAAGCGTAGTATAGAGGGTTTGGGTTTTAATGTCAACCCGGGTCCTAGATGTGATGACTACTCGGTGAATTCTTGTTATTTAGCGGTGAACTTTTAGTGCAACTCAAGCAAACAAAACACAAAGCAAGTAAACGGTTGTTTTCAGGTTAAGAGAGGTCACCCGGATATGGTTCCCCCTAGACTGCAGTTAAGCCGGATTGTAATTACCAAGTTCAATTTCTATGATAGTTATACTGCGGAAGGTTCTTAATCAGTCTGAAGTCTCGACTAAAGGTCTTTAGACCCTCTCAATCTGAGTCTCTAGCTGGTGACTAACCTACACCGGAGTAAACAGATTGAGGCCCTATGAACAAAACCTCCACTACCGAATTGAATTCGGTACAGAATAGTGAATTGGCTCCTCGACTAAAGTCACCAATTCCCTACCTTCGATTAAGGATACTCTATCAACCTAGGCAGATATTATCATTCTAGGTTAAAGCAGAAACAACAGGAATTTGATCAGGATTCATGCCATTCAATCATTCAAACCTCAATCGAATATAATCAATATCATAGAATCAATACTTGGGTTCATACAATCAAACATAACATACAGAACTAGGGTTCCCCATACCCAGATGAATGGGGAAACTACTCCATGGAGAAAGAAGCAAAAGCAGATTCAGACGCGGAAATCATACTGTGAAGTTGGATTCCTGCTCCTGGACGTTTAATCGTACTTCTCCAAGCTCAAACCGGGCTCCAATGGTGTTGAAGATCGATCTATGGACCTTGGGAACTCTGGTTCGTCGCTTTCTCTCTCTAGGAATCGATTTCTCTCTCAAAAACTCGGAACCCTTTGAAAATTGGCCTTCTTTCTCTTTTATCAGCTGCCCTCGCGATACCCGGTCGAAATACCCGGTCGGGTATTTTTGGGTTCGACCGGGTATTGTCCAAACGCGCCGTTTCACTAAAGGGGAAAATCCTCGGTCTGATCTCAAAATCCCCGACCGGGGATTTTAGGCCATCGCCCGGGCCCCCTTCTGCTTCTCACGGGTGCCGAAACCGATAAATACCCGGTCGGGTATTTTGCCATCCGACCGGGTATTTTCCTCCTGCAGCCCCCTTAGTCCCAACTCGGCTCCTTTCGACCCAGAACTCGTTTCTCCGCCTCGATTCCAACGCCGGGACCTGAAATATGACACAAACACACAACCTAGCGTAAAATCGGCTTAAAACACGAGATTCCTCAGCACAAACGGCTCCAGAATAGGGGTGAAAATATGTATAATTATCGGTCTATCACTCTCTATGGAGTAGAACCCTTCTCTCACTTGGGTATGAAGAACCCTAGTTCCTTGTGTTAGGGATTTGATTGTAATGACTTGGGATGATATTACTGTTTGATTTTAATCGAATGACGCATGTTTATTGAATTGATTGGAGTCTGATCAGCTTTTCTCAATTTCTG